CAGGAATGCAAGACATAAGGAAAGGAGGAAAAAAGGAAGAGTTACAATGCAACAACATTGACCCCTACAGGATCCAGACTAAAATTCCACATCAAGTCAAAGCCTTCTGAATCAAGATGAATCCTACTGTATAAAAGCAGTGTACTACTTGAGAACCAACTGTATATGAATCTAAGTAGTTGCATCATATTTTAAAACTGTGGAGAGCTCACAGTCGCCATGTTCTGTAACCCAGCAAACTGTCCTCTGGTCTTAGAATTAAAACAGTGATACTGATTCTGAAAAACCCTCTGGTCTACCACCTCCAAAGAGAAGGAGGACAAAGATGATTTCACTCATATAATATAAGCCAGACATTTCTGGGTTGATCCTCGATTTGAGGAGTTAAGCCTTTTGATGATGACTCTTCTCTAGTGTTTTGCCATTAACTCTCAGGGACAGCAAAGCACTCTGCATGGCAGGTCCTGCAGCTGTAGGAAACAGGAGGGCAGCATCACTACTGCTACATCTTCATACCAGATTCCTCTGACTTAGGGTAGCACCAGCTAAAAGGTTCAAGCAAGGTACAGCAGCTGATTTAATAAGAAGGCAACTCCCCAATGAGAGAGAACTGAGCTCCCAATATATTCAATACAGCAATGTTCCTTAATCACACCCAGCAGAGTTGTTTGCTTGAAGCATGAGGTATACAAATGCTCTCCGAGGACCCTTGGCTGAGTTATGCAGAAATAGGCAATTGTTTCATCAGGTTACGCTCACTGCCATCGTGCTCAAGAACACTGTAGTCTGCCCTACTGGCTACTCCCATGTCTATTCATGCTATGCCAGCTGCTGTTTACATTCACTCTATGTAATAATCTCCGCAACAAAACCACAGATCCCTCTTCAAATTAACACGTATCCAACAGTTATCTACATTCTCTGTACAGTAGTATCCCATAGAGATGCTAGAAGCAGGTGTCAGTGCCAAAAAAGTAACTTCCCACATGGATTATTTATTTCCATGACAGATATAGTTTGACAGAAATATACTTCCGCAAAGAATTTTCAAAGCAAAGTATTCCTTGTATTTTTGTATGGAGAACAATCAAGTATGAAGAAGAGCATTTCCAGGGATGCCACGCAGGGCTGTTCTTGTGAAGCACAACTTAAGCTAGCCCATTCTTTGGGATGCTAAAGAGTACTATAGGAACGGAGTCTTCTGCCACATAGCAGCTATCAATTATGCATGAACAACCTACTGAAGATGAGCAAGAAATGTAAGCTATAGGATCCTCACACAGGATCTCATGCACACATTATGTCCTCCGGGACGAATGAACACAACCATCAATAAAAACAACTTATCTGCTCGAGCGTGTTTTTCCACTTACCCCTCTGTTCTCTGGTTCAGGTCTCTGTCCTTGGGGTCGTGGTGGAGTTTTCTCTCTGCAGGAAGTTGTGAAATTAGGTCAAGTGCAAGGATACATGGCAATAGTATCTGCAATAGCCTGGCTAGTAGGACAGAACAAACACTGAGCACACTCTCACAGGGCCATGCTGCAGCAGAGCTGGAGGTAGTGTGTGAGCAAGTAAACCACCCAGCTATACGAACCTTCAGCATCACATTGCTGAATTAAGATATTGCACTTCTGAATAACCAAGTCCCATTGCAAAGGCTGGAAACCAAGGACATGAATATTTTATATAAGCTTCTCCAGTGAGATGACATTCATTGCAACCTGCCAGTTGTAACTGATAATTAACAGCCAATTCAAGTTAAAATAAATTGCCAGTTGAACAAGAAAGGAGGTGTGCAAACCCAGACCCTGAAAAAGCCAGAAATATTTGCCGGAAACGTCAGTTCTAGCTGTCTTTTGACAATGCATTTCAAATTGTGAATCCAGAGCTTTGGCAGTTTTATCTTAAGACCTTAAACTAAAGTTTCATCTTTACTTGTCACAGAAAAAGAGTTGTATTTAGGTTTCTTACCTGGGATCTTGTTGCCCAGTGCTACCTCTTCCATACAGAGGAATAACTTTATCTCGACTGATTCCTGCTTTGCATACAGGACACACTTGTCTGTTTGGCCTGGTCTCTAGCCACTAAAAGAAAGGAAATTAAAAGAAAACTACTAAAAGACCATGAAAAAACCAACATGCAGACCTCGTCTGCAGCCAGGCAGAGAGACTTCAGCAACTTCTCAGAAAGCCATGGAGCAAAACGTTTTAATAAAACAAGTGCCAAGTACTCTGCAAAGTGTTGGCATTTTGGCTGTTGTTCTGGTATGATCCACCTGCTGATGTGTACACATTCAGAATTGCACTGGCATAAAATATAGAGAAATAAACAGTACCAGCAGTCCTGCATTGGCCAAGGGCTAGTGTAGATACCATCCTTTCATCTATCTTTTCTGTAATTATACCACAATGTAAAACTCTATATATGCAAGGAGAGGTACACACAGCACTTAAGCCTGCAAACTAAACCCCTGTGAACTGCCTACAGTAATTCTCCTACTAAAACTGGGAATACTCAGTGTTTAAGAAACTCAAAAGTGGGAAGCAAGTGGAACAAAATGTAAGTTTTCTTTTTGCTGAAAGAGCAGATTGCAAGGTGTTGCTTGCGCATGAAGTTGCATTAGCACTCTGCAGTTGCCCTGGAGAGAAAGAAGCACATTTGAAAAGAGGGGGAAACTCCAAAGAACCAAGGGCTTTACTGAGTAACAGAAGCTGATGAAAGACAAAGTAAAAGGAAATCTGCCTTACCTGGTGTAAACAAGGCCAACTGTGAGAATTCCCAGGACAATTTGTTCACAGAGCAAAAAAAGAAGGGAAAATAAAATTAGTTACTGACAACTCGATCCAACAAATGTATATATGGATAGCACAGCTTGGAGACAACAGAATCCTGGAATCCAGCCGGGCCAGTTCCATAACCTGCCATTAAAATAATTTTTGAAAGCACAGCCCAAGACTGGACTTCTCAGGTTATGCAACCTAAGTTGCTAATGTGATTCTTTGCATATCATCCTTTGATTCCTGGGTCCTCATCCATATCAAAGGCCTATACAGAGGCTTAATCAATCTTAGTGTTTACTGTATAGATTTTCTCTTCTGATACCATGAAAAGATATCCCTGAGCTAAGATGCAAATGAGGAAGATGTCAGCAATGAGACTTCAGGATCTTCAAAGAAGTCACACAAGGGACATCTAGCTGGAACATCTGCCCCATTCACAGAATCATGGAATAATTCAAGCTGGGCAGTACCTCAGGTGGCCTCTAGTCCAACGTGATGATCAGAGCAGGGTCAACTATTGAGATCAGACCCAGTTGCTCAGGGTAGAGAAATGCCCATCATACAGAACTACTCTTAAGATTAAATTAACATGGCAACTTAAAAAAGGTCAAAGACAAACAAGAAAGCTACAAGATAAAACCGCTAAGCAGCCACCTGCTTTCAAAGTAGTCTTGACAACACTATTCAGACAAGGTACATGCTATTTTTAAGGTTCCGTTCTTCCAAATCCTTTTGTGGAATAGTTTAATCTAATTTTATCTTAACATCAACATGTGATTTTTCCATCTCCTCCTAGAACAAAACCCTGGATTTTCAGATGTTACATACATTTACACAGAAAAGAAATTATCTTTTAGGCCTCTCTTTATTAAAGAGCATAATTTAGCCTACTGTGTAAAATAAACAAACAAACAAACAAAACATTTGGCCATGTCAATCCTTAGTAACTTCTTAACATTCAAGAAAGACCAAGTTACCCAAATAAGAAATGCTGCATGCTTATTATATTTGTGCAATACATTGCCAAGTCAGATCAGAGAACTGAAAAGTTAGTATAACAACTGCAATACCATGGAAAAAGAGAAATAGCCCACAAGTAAAAGCTCGTTACCTCTTTTTTTTTAATGGTTTCAAAGAAAAAAAGAGCAAGCTTTTGGAAGTATGAAAACTACAGTTTGGCCTCCAGAACCTAGTTTCACATGCAGGTTTAGGTATGCACAGGTTAGAAAGGAATTCAGGTTGGAATAAGATACCTATGCTAGATCATAAAGCACAAATAAAATAACACAAATAACCAAGCATTATCAATGAACACTAAACTGTCTGTGTGGGGCTGCTTGTTTGTTTGCTTTTACAAAATAATTCAGAAGTATAAGAAGTTAAAAGACACAAGAAACCCACTCCCTGGAACATGGGCAAAGAAAAACAGTTGAGGAGCAAAACCAAACTGCTCCTAAACTAAAAGTATGGTCCTTAATAATTTTGTAGAAGACATTTTATTTGACATCTAGAATGATAAAAATCATAGGCTTTTATGTGATGAGAGAGATATATGGTGTTCTGGTTTATCTGGGGGGGCTTACGTACTTACCAGAAGAGATGTCCACACAAACTGATAACTGCATCCTTGGCAGTGTCTAAACAGATGTTGCATTCAAAAGTGTTGTCCTGATTAGTATTGTCCCCAGCACCATTGCTGCTACTGCTGCCACTGGTCCCTCCAGTACTGGAGTTCTTTGTTGATGTAGAAGAAGTCGTTGGTCCTTTGCTTGCCATCCTCAAGAGCTACCCAGACACAAGGCCAAGAAAATTTTCTTGTTGGAATCCTAGCAGTGAGAAAGAGAAAAAAAGAAAAAAAACCACCTTCTTAGCATTGTAACATTGTATTCTTGTCCTGTTCCAAATTGGTAGTGATTTATCCAAGAAGCACTTGAATCCTACTGTTGATGGATTTTGTTTAACACAGCCATGAGGGATCTTTTTTTAGAAGCTAAGCTACTTTTGAGTCCTGTAGTATGACCTGGCTGATATGTGACCTGTATTTTAAAGTTACTGATAAGCAACTGAGATCCACAGCCAAAACAAAACCATCGTATTTTCTCACAAATGCCACTTGCTGTGAAAAAAATGAGCTCACCTAGTCATACATGCTCTTCCAAAAATTCAATGCAAGTTGTAACTGTGAGTGCAGCCTGAAATAGGATTTAATCATGAAAGAATTCACATTTGGACAGACTGACTTAATGCATAGTTTTAAGTTCAATGTTCATTAGTTTGGAATATTAATGATAATAATGGCAAGCAAAGGTGGCTTAGTACTATATTTGTCTCATCAGCAGTATATTGCTGCTATCACAGCAGTGTGTTGATATGACTATCAAACATTTCTAATCTAGTAGTAATGCAGCAGTTCTAAAAATTTTCGTGAATGTGCTTTAATTTTACTTACATGCTTTCACCTCTCATCAACATCATCATAGGTATCAAAGAAAAGCACTTATTTTATTTCAGTAACAACAACCTCTACAGTCTGATTCCATGATATGCAAATTCCACAGTACCTAGAACTTTGACACTCAGCACAAAGCATTTAGATTTCCAGAAACAAACACTTTTACCAGTACAAGATTTTTAATCCGAGAACTAAGAGAGTTTCAGCAGTTACAGAAATTAATTCACCATTGTGCTTTTCATGAAACTCTGACATCGTGTTGCTGCTGCAGGGAAATGGAATACTTAGATAAGGTTGTGAGAAAGAAACAGGTGATAATCTGAACTTTTTGCAAGTGTACAAACAGTTAAGCATTTTAAAACAGCAACTTGAATTGTTCAGAAGCTAATTTCTTTGCAAACTTACCCCACAAGCATTAAAGGCTTTCCTTAGCGTCCCCTCTTTGTAGCAGTGCTGAAGCACAGGTGCAGGGCAGAAAAATAAAACCTCAGTATCTCTAGCTGTTATTGTCAATGGCTTTTTTCATAAAATACAATCCCACTGCATGGTCAAGAAAGCATCGTACTCAAGCCTCATGAAGGTATTGCAGCAAAGACACTCAATTACAGCAAGTGAACTGTTTTTTTGCAGAGCTTTTTCACTCAGTTACATCATTTTGCACAGTGTCCCAGAAGGGCAGCTTTGTATTCACAGATGGTGTACATACATTGCTTTCAGCACTGCTGACTCTTAGCATTTCACACCATGACTTCATTTACACTCAGCAGCAACACAGTTCATTGTACAAAATTAAAATTCATGTTAGTTCAAGGCAGATGGAAATGCTGCCAGCCCACAAACTATACGCTAAAGACGCTTGCATTTTTCACACATCCTTACTACCAGAATCTTCAGCCTATCTTGCTCAGTAGTTTAATGCTTGAAAACTTACCAACTTGGACCTACATATATTTGCTGGGAATTAATATCAAGATCAAGAAAGCCTCCCTAAAACTAAGAAGTTCAACACATTGTAAAAAACACTAGCATCATTTTATGGAACAGGCACAAGAAATGTCTGGCTCTTATATCTCAGCACATAACACAAGGAAAACATGTAGAAAAGGCAAATAATTGGATTTCTGTGTCCCTAAAACCCATGTGGAAGAAAAGGTCCCTTTTTCCAAATTACATTCCATACATTTAACACCAGAAATCTGAAGACTCATCAAAAAGATAAAATCTGTATCATCACAAACACATACTTAAAAAACCCTTAGCTTTTAGTAACTATGAAAAATAAATAAATCATTGAGTTATGAAGGATGATAGAGAAATCCATAGGAATATCAGTAATGTAATGAAATAAAGATGGCTGAGATGGAAGAAGGATCAATATGATGCAATAGGCACTGAATCTTCTCGCCTAGAAGAAGGTCATTCCTTAGCCTGTATGGGGATCCTCTCCTAATTATTTCTCCATAGGCTGATTGGGCCTCATGACCTCTTAGGATATAACCAATTTAAAATATCAAAAATACATCAAAACACAACAACAAAAATAATCAATCTTATTCTGAAAAGCCTTCTCAAACATTTGCTCTTGTCTGTGGAATACTGTTTAACATAACTAGATCTGTAAGTGCTGTTGGGATCTGTTTATCTGCAAATCACGCTGCACATATACAAAGAACCACGCACGGAACAGCATCCAATGACCAAACTTACATTTTATAACCATATATTGTGTCACTTGTGAGCACAGTCATGTGAAAACCTTGGGGGGGGGGGAAACCAAACCACAAGCAAACCACAAACTAAAAAAAACCTCAAACCAAACCAATGAACACAACAGGCCAAACCAACCCCATTTTCATTTTGATTTAGAGTTCAGAAGGAAGACTGTGAGTACACTGGGATATAACATGACTTTAGGGGTTAAGTAAACAGAATTTAGAGATGCTAAGCCAGATTTGCTAAACCCTAGTCCTTTAGATCAGGTCTCCACATCAAACCTAGACGCATGATGAGTAGCAAACAAAACAAGTGAAAGGATATAAAAATCAGCTGTAATCTAACTGCAAGCATTCAAAGATCTTTTTTCTTTCTTGCTTCTTTGCTCTCTAGATATTTACAGGAAAACAGCAGCTTTGTTACTTAAAAGCCATCTATATTAGCTGTTTATTTCCTTTAAATCTTGACCCCTATGATATCCCAACAGGTTGTTCTGAAATGACTGAATCACTGACATTTACTATATCCAAGAATCAAAAGTGGCAACAGATGAATGATTAAGAACAAAGAACCCATTTCAAGTAGTCTTCCTAAATAAAAAGTGCCTGGTGGAGCATGAAGAAGACATGGAAGTGAAGATACATGTTTAGGGATCCAGCACAAATCCCCCTGAGTTGTGTAAAGAATAAGCACGGCTGAAAGAGGTGGTGAAACTGGACCTCCGAGAAGCACATGGCACACTGGGACCTGAAAGTTCCATGACAACTGAGAGCACAGGAAGCCCATGAAAGAAGTGCAGGAAACTGGGAAGGTACCTGTATAGATCTCACTAACAGGCAACAGGAAAGAAATTTTACTGAAATACTTTAAAAACTAAATCTGTAAATCTAGTGTGAGCAACTGCATGCCAGGAAAATGCAAGCCGAATGGCTACTGTAAAAGATCACATTTCTGAACTCAGCAAATGAAAAAAGACTGCATTTGCCAAAGTACACTGACCTGATTTAAAAATGCAAGAGAAACACTTCAAGACAGACTGGGAGAGTTTCCACCATAAGATAAAGCGTACAAAAAAATCCACTGGAAACACAGCAGGTGAACAATAATTCAACCTAAGAAAGACAGAGAGGGAGCATAAATTAGAAGCTAATGTCACCTGTATGAAACAGTTGTAGAATACACGTTCACAGGGCTACAACATTAGGATGTTCAAAGTATTTACTTTTTAATCTTCTTTCATGATCAATGAGAAGAAAATCTGGTGAGGATATAGGACTCTGGCTAGTTTACTAATAAACCCCAAAGTTTACTGCTCTTTGCAGTATCTAATACATAACAATGAAATAAATGGAGCAGCATCGTTGGATGTAAAATTCCACTAGAAAGACACTTTTCCGTATTTCTTTCCTAATGAATCTTACTTTATCTCAGATTACTGAAATTTAAATAATCCAAATCTAGTTTGTTTCTGAAACAAGTTCTGGTTTAATTTCTCAAATTCTTCCTGTTTAAATCAAAAGGAAAACTTGTCAAGTTCTTTTTCTTATCACTACAGTGACAATGTCATTTTCAGACGTATATGACAAATTTTATAAAAGGAATATTAACATTAGAAATTCTGTCTAAGTCTAAAAATCTTACTCAGAGTTTATATAAATAAGACCACTCAGAAGTTTAACAAAAATCTGATTCTTAACCTATTACAATTGCCTGGATTTCAAATAAAATGAACAGGTAAGCTTAGCTGATAATTGTTGACAGCGTCTAAAAGAAAGTACATTTTCCTCTTGGCAGTCATTTTTAGATGTTCTTAGCAAATACATGACTGAAGTCCTACTGTTAGTCATTAGATAGACATTTATTTCTCACTACCTTTTTACTCTATTCTGTCCCCCAACAGTTATATTTCAACACCTCAGAAACATTTTCTGAGTTCATCTTTTCACCTCCTGTAACCCGTACAGCATCATGTACCCACTTTGTAGCATTACCATAAAGTGGTCCCAACACACAAGTTTGCATGATCACTTGGTCTTACAAAATCAGCCATTGGCCTTACAGACCAAAGTGCCCTTGCTTGGCCTCATTTCATTAATTGGGATTCTGCAACATATGTCTGTGTTACAGTTGCTGCTTCCAGGATAAGAGCCCCGCTGAAAGGCTGTTTTGGCAGCTCTAAGGGTTCAATATACCTCACAAATGCAAGACATTGTTACAAACTATCAAAAAAAAGCAAGTGATTAAAGTAATTTTTTTTTAACCATTCCATAAAAGTAGAATATAGACTCCAAGAAAACATTGCACAAATATTCAGACAAAGGTTTTATCCTCTTACCTCATAGAGTCCAAAGGGGAAAAAAAAAAAAAAAAGAAAAAAAAAACCCTGATATAACCAGTTGGGTAATACTGCCTGGGCGTTTTCCTGGTTTGCAGTGTTATGTAAAACATTAAATGCCCTCTAAGTGGGCTAACCAGGTTAGCAGCATAAACGTTAAAATAAAATAAAATAGTTACGATGTGGTTTAAGAAGTAGTAAGTGATTCCCAACAGAAGCAAAGAAAACCAACCATGGCATGTACCAGAGGCTAACCCTTGCGACCGTACCCACAGCCAGACGTGGCGCTTCTTCTCGCAGGGGGCTTCGGCCCCACGGCGGAGCGCGGGGCCCGGCACCACCAGGCCGCTACAATCGGGGATCTCGGAGGAAAACCCTCGCAGGCGGCGCCGG